CTTCGCTGGCGCACACCAGCGTCGTGGGCCCGGGCCCCGACAGCACGGCCGCCCGCGGCGCCCAGCGCGACGCCCCGTACAGCACCACGGCCAGCAGGAACAGGCTCGACACGCCGCAGATCGCCACCACCAGCCACACGTTCGTCGCCGCCGCCGCCGCCGGCCCAGAGCCGCTCTCGCCGCCCGCCAACGAGCGCGGCAGCAGCGACGACGAGCCCGCCGCCGCCGCCAGCGCCGCCTCGCCGCCCTCCACCAGCGACACGCTCAGCGTCGCCGTGGCCGAGCGCGCCGGCTCGCCGTGGTCCCGCACCACGATCACCAGCCTCTGCCGCGGCCCGTCCGCCTCCTCCAGCGCCCGCGCCGTGCTCACCTCGCCGCTGTACAGCCCCACGCGGAACAAGGCGCTCTTGCCCCGCGGCTCCCACAGCTCGTAGCGCAGCCATGCGTTGTAGCCCGAGTCCGCGTCCACCGCCCGGATCTTCGCCACCACCTGACCCGACGGCGAACCCCACGACGCCCACGCCCACAGCGTCCCCGCCTCCCCCGACACGGACCCGGCCTCCGACCCGCCGCCCGCCGACGGCAGCAGCGCCGGCGCGTTGTCGTTCTCGTCCACCACGAACAGCTGCACCGTCGCGTTGCCGCACAGCGACGGCTCCCCCGCGTCCACCGCACGCACCTCGAACTGCAGCACCTGCACCTCCTCGTAGTCCAGCGGCTGCAGCGCCCGCAACACACCGCTCTCCGCCTCCACCGACACGTAGCTCGACGCCGCAACACCCCCCACCGACCCCGACGTCCCCGACCCCCACGACCCCGGCCCCCCGCCCAACGCGCCCTCCCACAACGAGTAGCTCACGCGCCCGTTGCCCGCCTCGTCCGGGTCCCGCGCCCACAGCCGCGCCAGCTCCGCGCCCGCCAAGTTGTTCTCCCGCGCCAGCACCGTGTACACCGCCTGCGCGAACGACGGTGCGTTGTCGTTCACGTCCGACACCGGCACACGCAGCCCAACGCGGCCGCCCAGCGACGGAGAACCGCCGTCCTCCGCACGCACCTCCACCTCGTACGCCGACACCCGCTCCCGGTCCAGCAACTCCCGCAGCACCAGCGAGTACGACCCCGACAACGTCGCCTCCAGAACGAACGGACCCGACGGCCACACCCAGCACCGCACACGACCGTTCGACCCCGAGTCCCGGTCCCACACGCTCAGCAGGGCCACCACCGTCCCCAGCGACGCGTCCTCGGGCACCGGCACCGACAGCGACGTCACCCGCACCTCCGGCGCGTTGTCGTTCACGTCCAGCACTTCCACCACCACCTTGCAGTGACCCGACAGCGGCGGAGAGCCTTTGTCTCTTGCTTCTACGGGGATCTCGTAACTATCCATTTCTTCGTAGTCTATCTTGCCTTGAAGTCTGATTTCTCCTTTGTTTTCGTCTATAGTGAACATTTCCTTAACTTCTGTAGTGACATGTCTACTAAATAAATATACAATATCGCTGTTGGATCCTTCGTCCGGATCCATGGCACTAAGTGTGATTATTAGAGTCCCGAGCTCTGAACCCTCCAAGATTTTAACTTTATAGACAGATTGGTTGAACTGGGGCGCGTTGTCGTTCGCATCCAGCACCGAGATCACCAGTTCCATCGTCCCTGTCAGAGACGGCCGGCCCCCATCACTCGCCGTCAGCAACAACCGGTGCACCGGCATCGTCTCCCGATCCAGAGATTTTCTTAAAATAAGACCTAAAGACGCGCTCTGGTCATTATCCCCCTGATGATCAAGACTGAAGTGTTCGCTGGGGCTGAGCGTATAGGAGAGCTGAGCGTTCGCTCCAATATCCGCATCTGATGCGCCCTCCAGCGGGAAACGAGACCCAGGGAGAGATGATTCGGCGATGTTAAGGGCTTCTTCGATGGCACGGAAAATTGGGGCATTGTCGTTGATGTCGGTGACCTCCAGCTCCACGTGGAAGACGCGCAGCGGCCGCTCCAGCAGCACCTCCAGCCGCAGCGCGCACGGCGCGCTCTTGCCGCACAGCTCCTCCCGGTCCAGCCGCGAGCTCACCACCAGCGCCCCGCTCGCCCCGCTCACCTCCACGCTCGCCCGCCGGCCCCCAGGCACCAGCCGCAGCCGCCGCGCCTCCGCCTCGCCCGCCTCCAGACCCAGGTCCTGCGCCACACGGCCCACCACCGTCCCGGCCTTCGCTTCCTCCGGCACCGAGTACCGCACCTGCCCCCAGCACAGCGCCCACGCCGCCTGCACCGCCACCACCCGCAACACCGCACCCCACACACGGTCGCCCATCGCCGCCGCCTCCGGTCCCCTCCCTCGCCCTGCCCGCCTCTCCGCCGCCCCCCACATGGCCGCGCTAAGGTCTCCCTGGCAGGAGCGGGACGCCGCTCCGCTCTCCCGTTGCCGCGCCCGGAGCGGTTCGCCGCATCCTTCCTCCCGCTGACGGCACCGTGACAGCGGCTCGGGGAGGAGCTGCCGCCCTCCCGTGTCTCACGGCGCCTTCGCGGCCAACAGCGGCATCTGGTGTCCGACCGCGGCTCCTTCCGTGGGCAGCCGCCTCCTGCCCATCTCCCGCTGCCGCTGCGGCTCCGTGCGGGGACGGACCGGCCGTGGCTCCGCCCGTTCGGCCGACGAGCTCCAGGATTTCCCTTCAGAACATTTCCCTTCCTTCAAAGCGGTAATAATTGGTTCTTCTCTTCTCCTCTTCTCTCTTCTTCGCTTTCTCTTCACCTTCCTAAAGGCATTTAAATTGATATGTACATCTGCCAGAACACCTATATTAACCCAGGAACCACATCTAGGAAGGTCTTCGGTGAATAAAGCCTACCCCACTTCTGGTCTCATGACTTTATCTTCCCTATGCATTGCTGAGGAGGCATAACTCAATCTCCTCATTTATGTATTCTTCTTGAAGGGATTTCAGCTATTTCCTCTGCAGAAGAAGACTTTATCCTCGATCTTCCTTCTGTAAAAGTATGCTGGTGTTCAGAACACAAAAATTCTTGTGGAATTTATCTGGGTCTAGTGCGGAGACGCTAAAACCAAATTGAAATTGCTTACCTTTTCCTGGCTTTGTGACATGGATGTAGGTGAGGAATCCCACACACTCTCCTTGGTTTTCATACAATAAATAATAGGGTGAGACCATGATATTAGAAAAAAACCCAACCGTGTCTGTCCACAACAGAATGGTTTTGCCTTTTGAAGTATAGGCCCAACAAAATAAACCATCACTGCACACAAATTGCAAAGACTTTCAACTGCACCAGTGACTCTCTAACTCTGTATGTCTGTCTAAACGCAACCAGCACAACAGAAATCCTCTTGGAAGGGTGAAATACCTCAAGGAACCTGAGTTCTCGCATCTTTATGTGTCCCAGTAAAGTACTTTCTGTAAGTTTTATCCCCCACTTGTAGCTGCACAATGAAGGACAAGTTCTTTGTTACCTTTGTTACCTCTTTAGGCAGACAGCATTCACAGTAAGGCAAAACAATGTGTCCATTACCGATGGAGATGAGCAGGACACAGGACAGTCATCCAGGCATGATGTAAGTGAAGACAACACCACAGGGCTGCACCACGGTTCTGGCAAGGTGCAGTTCATCTTATAACACGTTCCCAGGCTCCCACCTCACCCACTGACGTAAGTACAGATTTCCCTACAGAAAATCTGTTTTCCCTACAGATCTACAGACACTTTCTGCTACCCTTCCCCCAGGCTGGGCAGTAACTTGGAACAGATTATTTCACACAGTAGTGAGTAGCTGATTCTACCACAGAAGAATCAATGATGCAACAGGAAGAAAAAGAAAAGAAAACCAAACAAAAAAAAACAAACAAAAAACCCAAAATAAAACTAACACCCCCCCCTTACACACATACCAAACTTTAAAAAAGTCTCCTCGATAGGTCATTTTTAATTACACCTGTTGCTCTCCTAACAGTTGCCTTGATTTATTTCTAGGCCTCCATTGTCAGGGATATGTTCAAGGATCACTGTTCAAAATTTCAGGGAAGCAGGGCTGAAAAAGCAAACAGGTTTTGTCCAGCCTCTCAAATCCCAGCTGTATTGCCAGCGCTTCTGTATCCATCTCTATGAAGGCAAAAACAAATGAAAGCCTTACAGCATTCTCTCAAGGTAAAACTCACCTTAAGAGACTACAAGACAGTGAACCACAGTGATGAAGGGGCACAAATTTTGAAGTCAAAGAGCACTATTCAGCAGCATGACTCTCACTGACATCTCCCGAGAAAGGTAAGCTAAGCCACACTGTCCTGGGGGGAATTGGGAGTTTCAAGAATCCCAGTTCGTAATCACATGATCATCATAAGGCACACACACAGTGAGACAAAAAAAATAAAATCACAGTTTATTTTTATATTCTCAGGGAAGGGAAAAATTAAACAAAACAAAATAAAATAAACACAAATAAATAAGTTTTAAAATACCAAACATCAAAAAAAATACAAAGCCTACAACTGCAAGGTACATGGAACCACCCAGGTCAGAAATCAAACTGAGGTGCTTCTACAAATACATCAATCCACCATAAACAAGTCCTCTAACAGTACATCTTGCCCAATATAGCACTATGGCTGCACATTTTTAATATCTACTTTGGTTCGTGTTCTTCTGCCAGTAGGTACCTTATATTAGATAGTACATTTAAATCATACTTAGAAGGGGAAAACGTGAAATACTTCTGTCTTTGCCATGTCCATAGTAATTCTGTAGTACTTCACAAACTAATATATGCCATGCAAGGTAAGTAGGCAAGAACTTTGCATGATTTCTCTTTCAGAGGTGAACCAAAAAGGAGGACAGACTTCTGATTAAGAAAAGACTGGAAACAAGCACTTCCCAGGATCCAAACCCAAGAAATTCATTAGAACTACCCTACCTCTAAGACAGGAAAATCTAAACAAATAAAGACACTCCTTCAAAATAAAAGAAGGCTGAAAGAGGCACTCAGAGTTGTGATTAACTACACCAATGGCAGTAAAACCAGACCTGATAATACCAGCAACATAAAGTCAACACTGTAATCGGGCAGAGATCTTTACCAGGAACTGTTCCATTTAATAGCTCATCAGGGGATCTCGAAGTGTCACAGACTGTGATGTATCAAGGGTAAGAAGAGATACCACCCTACAGAGCAGAGTTAAAATACAGGCCTGCTGAGAACTGCAGAAAGAGGTGATGACTCACTGAAGATCTAAGAGGGAAAACAGCAAGAGATTTTCAATGCAGGGGACTACAAAGTAGAGCAGACAAGAAAACAGATGTGGCTTCAACAGAGACTGTGACTGATTCTGAAACAATCACTGAAGGTTCTGAAATTACATATTTGACATAGAGAAGAAACTGATGTGGATATATCAGCTCCATTCTAAGTGCCAATCAAAAAGGTAAGCCTTATGAGACGACGCAAGACAAAAAGGTATTTCATTAAAATTTCAAGAAATATGGAGTGCAGCAAGATCTGAGTACTTCGTACAGCTCCCCTTCTCAACATGGTAAGAGGAAGAGAGAAGACCATAGCTAGCATAAAAACTCAGCAGCCATGTAACATGTTACATAGCATGAAGACTAAAGAAAATGCAACAAGTAGCCAGAGGGTAAACAGCCGCCAAGTACCCACTACCCTCAAGCCGAGAGAGCAGAGACTGTCTCCAAAGCAGCGTCGGCCCAGGAGGCGGGAAGAAAGGAGCAAAGAAGGGGAGGAAGGCACTGACCGTGTCGAGGAGAGAGGGAGGTTCCGGCTGCGTGTCCTTGGCCGCGGCGCCGGGCGGCGGCGGGAAGTTGGGGCTGAAAACCATCAGGTCGCTCTTGGCCGCGCCGTCCGCCACGCACAGGCTCCGGCTGTGGCGCTGCGAGTACGACCAGCTGCCCACTTCGCTGGCGCACACCAGCGTCGTGGGCCCGGGCCCCGACAGCACGGCCGCCCGCGGCGCCCAGCGCGACGCCCCGTACAGCACCACGGCCAGCAGGAACAGGCTCGACACGCCGCAGATCGCCACCACCAGCCACACGTTCGTCGTCGCCGCCGCCGCCGCCGCCGCCGGCCCAGAGCCGCTCTCGCCGCCCGCCAACGAGCGCGGCAGCAGCGACGACGAGCCCGCCGCCGCCGCCAGCGCCGCCTCGCCGCCCTCCACCAGCGACACGCTCAGCGTCGCCGTGGCCGAGCGCGCCGGCTCGCCGTGGTCCCGCACCACGATCACCAGCCTCTGCCGCGGCCCGTCCGCCTCCTCCAGCGCCCGCGCCGTGCTCACCTCGCCGCTGTACAGCCCCACGCGGAACAAGGCGCTCTTGCCCCGCGGCTCCCACAGCTCGTAGCGCAGCCACGCGTTGTAGCCCGAGTCCGCGTCCACCGCCCGGATCTTCGCCACCACCTGACCCGACGGCGAACCCCACGACGCCCACGCCCACAGCGTCCCCGCCTCCCCCGACACGGACCCGGCCTCCGACCCAGAGCCCGCCGCCGGCAGCAGCGCCGGCGCGTTGTCGTTCTCGTCCACCACGAACAGCTGCACCGTCGCGTTGCCGCACAGCGACGGCTCCCCCGCGTCCACCGCACGCACCTCGAACTGCAGCACCTGCACCTCCTCGTAGTCCAGCGGCTGCAGCGCCCGCAACACGCCGCTCTCCGCCTCCACCGACACGTAGCTCGACGCCGCAACACCCCCCACCGACCCCGACGTCCCCGACCCCCACGACCCCGGCCCCCCGCCCAACGCGCCCTCCCACAACGAGTAGCTCACGCGCCCGTTGCCCGCCTCGTCCGGGTCCCGCGCCCACAGCCGCGCCAGCTCCGCGCCCGCCAAGTTGTTCTCCCGCGCCAGCACCGTGTACACCGCCTGCGCGAACGACGGCGCGTTGTCGTTCACGTCCGACACCGGCACACGCCGCCCAACGCGGCCGCCCAGCGACGGAGAACCGCCGTCCTCCGCACGCACGACACCCGCTCCCGGTCCAGCAACTCCCGCAGCACCAGCGAGTACGACCCCGACAACGTTGCCTCCAGAACGAACGGACCCGACGGCCACACCCAGCACCGCACACGACCGTTCGACCCCGAGTCCCGGTCCCACACGCTCAGCAGGGCCACCACCGTCCCCAGCGACGCGTCCTCCGACACCGGCACCGACAGCGACGTCACCCGCACCTCCGGCGCGTTGTCGTTCACGTCCAGCACCTCCAGCACCACCTTGCAGTGGCCCGACAGCGAGGGCGTCCCTTGGTCTCTCGCTTCTATACGGAAATCAAATACATTGACTTCTTCGAAGTCCAAGGCTCCCGTGAGGTGAATCTCCCCCGTCTTCGGATTGATGGAAATCACATCTTTGCTACTGGATGGGAAAAAGTTCGTCACGGTGTAGCTCAGCTCACTATTGCTTCCTACATCGGGATCCGTGGCGTTCACCCTCGCCACCAGCGTCCCCACTGCAGCGCTTTCCGGCAGCTGCACTTTATACACCGACTGGTTACATTGGGGCGCGTTGTCGTTCGCATCCAGCACCGAGATCACCAGCTCCACCGTGCCCGTCAGAGACGGCCGACCCCCGTCACTCGCCGTCAGCAACAACCGGTGCACCGCCATCGTCTCCCGGTCTAGAGATTTTGTTAAAACAAGTTCAGGTTCAATGTTTCGCTCATTCGATTTCTGTAAATCCACAGAGAAATGCTCGCTTGGGCTGAGTGTGTACGAGAGCTGCGCGTTCACTCCGATATCCGCATCAGACGCGCCCTCCAGCGGGAAACGGGAACCCACCACAGACGATTCCGGGATGCTGATGTTTTTTCGGGCGGCGGGGAAGGTGGGGGCATTGTCATTAATGTCGGTGACCTCCAGCTCCACGTGGAAGACGCGCAGCGGCCGCTCCAGCAGCACCTCCAGCCGCAGCGCGCACGGCGCGCTCTTGCCGCACAGCTCCTCCCGGTCCAGCCGCGAGCTCACCACCAGCGCCCCGCTCGCCCCGCTCACCTCCACGCTCGCCCGCCGGCCCCCAGGCACCAGCCGCAGCCGCCGCGCCTCCGCCTCGCCCGCCTCCAGACCCAGGTCCTGCGCCACACGGCCCACCACCGTCCCGGCCTTCGCTTCCTCCGGCACCGAGTACCGCACCTGCCCCCAGCACAGCGCCCACGCCGCCTGCACCGCCACCACCCGCAACACCGCACCCCACAAACACTCGCCCATCGCCGCCGCACACGACCAGTCCTTCCGACCCCGCACGGGCCCCGCACGGCTCCCGCCGCCGCCCGCACGCACCGGCTCCGCTGCCCGGCCCCAGCCGCCCCCCCGCGCTCACAGCCGGGCTCTCCGCCGCACCGCCAAGGAGCCGCCCACACGCCCTTCCTCAGCCTGCAGCGACACCGTGCGCTGCTCCGCCGCCTCACACGCTCCCACACAGCGCCCAAGCCTCCGCTTCTCTTCTGCCGGCTCTGCTTTGCTCCTCTTCCTTTTTCCATGTTCTTTTTCTTTTTTTTTCCCCTTCTCTTCCTTATCGCCACTGGCAGCTCATCAGTCGCCTCCGTTGCCGCAGCGCAGACCGTGAGAGTCGGAGGGTCCGGCTCTAATTACGTGGCATCTGCACCCGAACGTGGTGCTCTGAAGGAGGCAGAGGCTCTCGGTAATGAACATTGCTCAATGACTAGAGGTAGGTCAGTGAGTACTGCTCACCTCCTTTGCTTTTTTCTTTCTTTCTCCTATTTGTCGTTTTCCATTCTTAATCATCTCCTTGTGTCATTCCTTCATATCATCTTATTTCTGTTTTTCTTTCCCTTCTCTCTTTCCTTTTTTTTTTCCCCCCTTCTTTCTTGCCCTCCTCCCTTTTTTGTACTGTGATAGCATCGGTGATGTACCAGGAAACTCGTTTATAATTTGTTCCTTTCTCTCTCTTCTATTTCTTGCTTCTTTGTTTCTCTTTCTCTGCCTTGTTCCTTCCTTCTTTCTTATTTTGCTCCTCGTCTTCTTTTCTGTGTCTTTATGCATACATACATCCCCTTCTCCTTCCCTCCTTGTCTCTGCTTTATCTCCTTGACCAACATGTTTTCAATCACTCTCACCATGGAGCATGGACACACCCTTGGGAAAGGGTTCTCATTCCTCTCCTCTGCCGCCTTCCCTCTCTCCCCACAAGGAATAACTTTCCTTCCCATCTCCAGTCGGTCCAAGACAGACAGAATGCCCTTTCACCTCCCCTGCTGCAAGGAAACCACACTCTTCAGGCCCCGTCCTCTCAAGGAAGGGAATCCACCACTCTGAAACACAAGCCAAATCCCCAGGTACTTTGGCAGCCGTGCAAACAGGCTCCCAGGAACACAAACAACCTGGAGGAGTCTTTCCTTTGAGGACTCAAACCCATCACAGCCCGGGACACCAATCCTTCAAGAAGGCTGAAAAAGAACAGGGCACCCACAGCGTACAAGTACTCTTTCTACACCTCCATAAAGAACTGCTCTTCAGGCCTCAGTTTCCACCTCCTCTGTCAGGTACACAGGGCAAGAACCTCCATATCCAGGGGCATTAGTCCCCATGGAATACCTCTCACTCAGTAACATGATCCCTCTGCAAAAGCCATGAAGGTAACATGGTATCTTTTTCACTGAGAACATACCCTCCATTCCCAAAACATTCACTCAGAAAAACACATTAGTGTCCCTCTTTCATCTGCAATTGCTGCCACTTGCTCCCACTGTGCCTGGAAGCACAGGGCAAAAAAGGTATGAGAGCAGGTAGTGGTGCTTTGCTGGTCCATTTACAGAATCATTGGATATCTCAAGTTAGAAGGGACTCATAAGGATCATCAAGTCCAGCTCCCAATCCAAGAAACATTTGGTCAATCCAAGATGAAGATACCATGACTGAAAAGGAATAAAAGTACAGCTGTCTCTCAGACTCATCTGTTTTAGGCAGGAGCGACTTACCTGTAACACCACTGGTGGCTTCTTCAGAAAAGAAACATATTCAGGGGAGGGAAATTGGTTCTGAGGGACATTTGCTTTTAATGTTATCAGAGATTTCTGTGGAAGATGGACAGGAAAAAATGACCCACATTTGAAATCACTGGAGAGAGCACAGTGCTCCCTTATGCACTTTTATCACAGGGGAAGCAGGAGGGACACTGGAAAGCTAAGGACCTTCTCCCAACATCAACCTCAGCCCAGGAGGCTGGAAAAGCCATTCCTCAAACTGATGGTCAACTGCTGTGAACTCCACCACCTGACAGCTGACAAAACACAGCAGTCTGTGTATCATCCACTGTAACCAACTCATTGCCAATGTAAAAGAAGAAAAAAACAACTAAAAAGATGGAAGGTTTTGGTAAAAGGGGAGAAGAAACCAAAGGGTCCCATTCCACCATAAAAAAACACCCCAAACCTGTTTTGGACACTTCTGGATTACAGAGAGAACTTCTTCCACTCCCTATCAAGACAAGAGCAGATACATAACCAAGAAGAGGTTCAGAGAATGCTGACCAAATGAGACTGATATTTGGAAAAGCTTCTCTTGGACAAACACCATACTGCCAAAAGCAAGTCATCCAAGCCATGTATGACAGATGTCTTCACATCTGGCAGAAAAAGCACGGAAAACACCAAGGAATAGGGATATGCAGGGCTTCTGGAGGTCCTGAGAGGACCCCAAGCAAGCAACCCTGAGTGACAGGGGTCCTCACAAGGTTTTCCACTGGAATCCTCTATCCCAGGCTCTGGGAAATGAGTCTCCAGATAAGCATCCTCCTGTTCTTCCCCACTGACACAGTGCTTGTCCTACACAGCACTTCCATCTCCTCAGTAAAGAAACTTCCCCACTCAAAGTCCCCCTCCCCATGACAGAGGCCCCAAGCAATACTCGGTGCCACTCAGGGGATCACAGCCACAGCACCCAAACTGCCCCACCAGAACAGCATCCCCCAGCAATAAAACCCACTCTGAGCATGACCCAGGCCTTCCCACAACCCCACCTGCCCTCATAATCCTCACAAAGAACTTACAGAGAGATGCAAAGCCACAGAATGTCTGGCAGGCTGTGTGAAATTCACCCTAAATGTTCTGTGCCTTTTCAGCAATCTCAGATGGAAACACCACAGGGCTACACACATGAGAGATCTTAAAGATTCTGCAATCAGATTGACAGTTCTGGTCCTGGTTCACATGATTTTTTTTCTTTGAGAGAACCACACCAAATGCTGAAGCACAAGCAGAGCCACAATATGAACTGTGTGGGACAATTATGATATAATACCAGAGCTGGGCTGCTCAGGTGGGGTTGGTGTGTCTGATCAGGGTTAACCATGACCAGGGGACACACTATTTCTACTGAGACTGACTCTGCAAGTGTACAAGTACAGGAAATCACACACACACAGATCACACCCCCTTCCTCATCACATCCTCTTATAAATCTCACTGGACAAGGAGCAAGGAACCATCAGGGCAAAATCAACAGCTGAGGAAGCTACTATGGATGCACACAACTACACAAAGGCAGCAGGCTGAAGTGTGACCCTCCCACGACAGCTTTCTGAAAACAAGAGGGAAATGGTTCATCAGACAACATTCAGCATTTGGCATCACATCTCCTCTTACCAACACATTTCCTCTGGCAATGATGCAGCAGCACAGATTACTTCCTGTGGTGGGAGATCTTCATAACCTCAAAGGACACTGTGGGCATTTCAATACCACACAGCATCTCAAGGTCCACAAGGCCTCCAACTCCACAACCTTAGGGCCTTGGAAAGTACCCTGGGCAGGAACACTCTGTTTGTCCTGCCTCACAGTTTCCTCTAGGCATCCTTTATTCCCCACTCTGAGTTCTCAAGACAAGAAGATCATCTCTCACTCTTGTCCTTAAGACATGGCCCATGGCCTTCCAATGATTCCCACCTTCCTTTGACAAGCCTTCCCACTGCTCAAGGTCACATCAGGAAATGTCTGGGCCCTGTTCTGTCGCTGCCACACCCACTTTCATAAACATGCCACAGTTCCTTTTCACTCCAGCATTTGTGAACCCCTTCATCCATGAGAGCACCATGGAAAAACATACACATGCATCACATCCACAGTGTCCAGCAGACTCTGCTGCTGACCCATCATGTTTTGCAATGCTTCAGCTACCTCACATGGAAACATGGAAAACCAGGGAGAAATACTTTCTAAAGGTGATGTTGTGACAGCCCTAATGGCAATGGCATTGATGACATGACCTAAGAGAGAAATCAAAATGCTGATGAGAACAGCACTGTAAAAGATGATAACAGCAACATAGGAGAATTTGGTTTGGATTTTGGTGGGGAATTCTTATTCTTTACCTTTGTCTGGAGTTTTCCTTGTTTGGAGTTTCCTTATTCAGAAAATATTTGCAGCAGTCTTGAAATTATGTGATTTTTTCATACACATTTTGATAGAATATCAAAAGAGGCTACCATATTTCATACCATTTCTCTGGCCAAGAATGCAAATTCACAACAGAGAGGCAGAGCAGGACAATACCAAGAAAACTGTGAATTCTAACACTTACCTTGGGTCACACTCCTCTGTCTGAACAGGTAATAAGTAGAGCAAAAAGATATACAGAAAAAGATGACAGTAAAAGTCTGTACTGTCTTTCCTACTTTCTTAATGAGTCTGATGACAGAAACTAAATACACAATTGTTCTTTCCACAGGGAGCCAAAAATTTGAAGTCTCAAAGGTACCTTTGCATCACATCTCTTGCAAGGGGAATGAATGGAAGAGGACAGTTTTTGATAATAATCCAGACCTAATCCCAACACTGTCAACAAAGGCAATAGGACAGTAAAGAGTGGCTCGGGGACTATCACCACCACAGCTTCCCTGTCTTGTATATCTCATCAAGCTCTCATCGAAACCCTACACAACAGCAAACAAGAGCATCACCTACAAAGCTGACAACTCAGAGCAGCTCTCATCAAAATAGGCAGTGCATTCTAGGACACAACTCCCGCCCACTGCAGCAAATCTCAGCTCCAGGGTACCGTAACACTGTTATTTCACCAGACACACACACCAAGAGCCAGGGTTCTCCGGAAAGGACTGGGGGGCACATAGACAAGTCCCGTTAATATCCATAAGTGCCCTCGGCCCTCAAGCAGCGGAGGCGGGGCCAGACTCGCAACAGCACCGGCCCAGGGGGCGGATCAGAGGGGACGGAAGAGAGGAGAGTTCTCCGGGGAAGGAAGGAGACAGAGAGAGAGGGCCACTGACCGTGTCGAGGAGAGAGGGAGGCTCCGGCTGCGTGTCCTTGGCCGCGGCGCCGGGCGGCGGCGGGAAGTTGGGGCTGAAAACCATCAGGTCGCTCTTGGCCGCGCCGTCCGCCACGCACAGGCTCCGGCTGTGGCGCTGCGAGTACGACCAGCTGCCCACTTCGCTGGCGCACACCAGCGTCGTGGGCCCGGGCCCCGACAGCACGGCCGCCCGCGGCGCCCAGCGCGACGCCCCGTACAGCACCACGGCCAGCAGGAACAGGCTCGACACGCCGCAGATCGCCACCACCAGCCACACGTTCGTCGCCGCCGCCGCCGCCGGCCCAGAGCCGCTCTCGCCGCCCGCCAACGAGCGCGGCAGCAGCGACGACGAGCCCGCCGCCGCCGCCAGCGCCGCCTCGCCGCCCTCCACCAGCGACACGCTCAGCGTCGCCGTGGCCGAGCGCGCCGGCTCGCCGTGGTCCCGCACCACGATCACCAGCCTCTGCCGCGGCCCGTCCGCCTCCTCCAGCGCCCGCGCCGTGCTCACCTCGCCGCTGTACAGCCCCACGCGGAACAAGGCGCTCTTGCCCCGCGGCTCCCACAGCTCGTAGCGCAGCCACGCGTTGTAGCCCGAGTCCGCGTCCACCGCCCGGATCTTCGCCACCACCTGACCCGACGGAGAACCCCACGACGCCCACGCCCACAGCGTCCCCGCCTCCCCCGACACCGCCCCGGCCTCCGACCCGCCGCCCGCCGCCGGCAGCAGCGCCGGCGCGTTGTCGTTCTCGTCCACCACGAACAGCTGCACCGTCGCGTTGCCGCACAGCGACGGCTCCCCCGCGTCCACCGCACGCACCTCGAACTGCAGCACCTGCACCTCCTCGTAGTCCAGCGGCTGCAGCGCCCGCAACACGCCGCTCTCCGCCTCCACCGACACGTAGCTCGACGCCGCAACACCCCCCACCGAGCCCGACCCCGACCCCCACGACCCCGACCCCCCGCCCAACGCGCCCTCCCACAACGAGTAGCTCACGCGCCCGTTGCCCGCCTCGTCCGGGTCCCGCGCCCACAGCCGCGCCAGCTCCGCGCCCGCCAAGTTGTTCTCCCGCGCCAGCACCGTGTACACCGCCTGCGCGAACGACGGCGCGTTGTCGTTCACGTCCGACACCGGCACGCGCAGCCCAACGCGGCCGCCCAGCGACGGAGAACCGCCGTCCTCCGCACGCACCTCCACCTCGTACTCCGACACCCGCTCCCGGTCCAGCAACTCCCGCAGCACCAGCGAGTACGACCCCGACAACGTCGCCTCCAGAACGAACGGACCCGACGGCCACACCCAGCACCGCACACGACCGTTCGACCCCGAGTCCCGGTCCCACACGCTCAGCAGGGCCACCACCGTCCCCAGCGACGCGTCCTCGGCCACCGGCACCGACAGCGACGTCACCCGCACCTCCGGCGCGTTGTCGTTCACGTCCAGCACCTCCAGCACCACCTTGCAGTGGCCCGACAGCGGGGGTGTCCCTTTATCTGTCGCTTCAATTAGTATCTCATACGAACGGATGTCTTCATAGTCCAGGGCACCCATGAGACGGATCTCGCCTGTCTTTGGATTTAAAGGGAAAAGGTTTAATCCCTTTTCCGGAAAAGTGTTGCTTGCAATGAACGTCACTTCACCATTGCTTCCCACATCGGGATCCGTGGCGTTCACTCGCGCCACCAGCGTCCCCTCTGCAGCGCTCTCCGGCAGCTCCACTTTATACACCGACTGGTTAAACTGGGGCGCGTTGTCGTTCGCATCCAGCACCGAGATCACCAGTTCCATCGTCCCTGTCAGAGACGGCCGGCCCCCGTCACTCGCCGTCAGCAACAACCGGTGCACGGCCACCGTCTCCCGGTCCAGAGGTTTCGTGAGCACCAGAAACAGGGATTCACGGTATTCGTCACTCCGCTGCAAATCCAGAGAGAAATGTTCGCTGGGGCTGAGTGTATAGGAGAGCTGAGCGTTCGCTCCAATATCCGCATCTGACGCGCCCTCCAGCGGGAAACGGGAACCCACCAGAGACGATTCGGCAATACTGATGTTTTTTCGGGCGGCGGGGAAGATGGGGGCATTGTCATTAATGTCGGTGACCTCCAGCTCCACGTGGAAGACGCGCAGCGGCCGCTCCAGCAGCACCTCCAGCCGCAGCGCGCACGGCGCGCTCTTGCCGCACAGCTCCTCCCGGTCCAGCCGCGAGCTCACCACCAGCGCCCCGCTCGCCCCGCTCACCTCCACGCTCGCCCGCCGGCCCCCAGGCACCAGCCGCAGCCGCCGCGCCTCCGCCTCGCCCGCCTCCAGACCCAGGTCCTGCGCCACACGGCCCACCACCGTCCCGGCCTTCGCTTCCTCCGGCACCGAGTACCGCACCTGCCCCCAGCACAGCGCCCACGCCGCCTGCACCGCCACCACCCGCAACACCGCACCCCACAAACACTCGCCCATCGCCGACGCCGCCTTCCGACCCCGCACGGGCCCCGCACGGCTCCCGCCGCCGCCCGCACGCACCGGCTCCGCTGCCCGGCCCCAGCCGCCCCCCCGCGCTCACAGCCGGGCTCTCCGCCGCACCGCCAAGGAGCCGCCCACACGCCCTTCCTCAGCCTGCAGCGACACCGTGCGCTGCTCCGCCGCCTCACACGCTCCAAACAGCGCCAGCGCCGTCATCTCTGCCATCTCTTCTGACCGAGCTTCTCTTTTTCTTATTTGTCTTCCTTCCTTTTATTTCTCTTCCGGTTTTAAGAGGTTTTTCCCCCTCCTTTCCTACTGTTCCCTTTTTACTATGTTCTCAGTTTTTTGTTCTTTCTCTTTTTCACTGTTGCTCTGCCGTGCCGTATTCTTTGATTCCTTTCCCCTTCTCTCTTCTCTATCCCCTCTGGCAGCTCCCCAGTCGCCTCCGGCGCCGCGGCGGAGCCCATCGAAGTCGGAGCCATCCGCGCTAATTACCGGGCAGCATCATCAGAGTGCGGTGCTGTAACCGAGGCAGAGGCTGCTGGGGACCAACTTCGCTCAGCGTCCAGGGAGAAGGTCGGTATCCGATGCTCATCTACTTTATCCTGTTTTCTTTTCTTGCATTCTCTTCTTCCTTCCTTCCCTCCTTAAATCCATACTTGCTTGCTTTTTATTTATGTCATCTCCTTTCTTTATCCTTCTTCATTTTCTTCTGCTGTTGTCTCCCTTCCTTCTCTTCTTTGCTTATCTTTCAGTGGATACTTTGCCTGTATCTTCTTTCCTCCTACATGCTTTTACCTGTCCAATTTTTTTCACCTCCTCTTCTATTTCTTTTTTTGTCTCTTATATCCTTTTTTTCTTACCACAATTCCTTTCAAATGTCTATGCCACACTCACAACGGACATATCCTTCCTGAACAGCTCTCATTCCTCTTCCTTGCAATGATTCCTTCCTTTGTTTCTTTTTTCTCTCCTTCTTTCTCTGTTCTTCCTTTATCTTCTCCCTTACTCTCTTTCCTCGTTTCTTTTTGCCTCGCTGGGCCATTTCATTTCATCCCCTTCCCTTCTGATTCCATCTTTGTATATTCCAACCATTTTTCTTCCTTAAGAAAATTCTTTAAAAACAGCTACACCACTGTCCCAACAAAGCACAGACATGCCCGTTCACAAAAGCTCTCATTCCTCTCCCTTTCCTCCTCCCACCCATCGGGACAGGGAATTACCTCTCTGCTCACCTCCCATCCCTGCACCTGCAACTGCCCCTCCCTTCAGGATGAAAGACAAACATTGAGCCTTCAGTCATCAGGCAGCTCAAGGACTCAGCAATAACACAGCGAGGCAGTCAGATGGCAAAGAACAGCTCTGCCACATCAGAAAAGAGTCCACCCACTAAGATGTCTAATAAAAACAGGTTCCAAGGAGTAAAAGCCCAAGGAAGTCTCTTCTTTGGGACCTGAAAACACATCCCAGCCAAGCACAATGACCCTTCAAAACAAGACTGAAAAAGCACAGGCCAACCACAGCTCCCAACCACTTCTCACAGACTTCTGTGAACAGCTTTTCTTCCTGACCCATGTCCCACCTGCACAGCCAAACAAACCCACCAAGGTGACACCAGGGCATTGCCACTGAGAACATCTGCTGCAGGCCCATCACAGCTACACCAAGAAACACATTACAGTCAGTTCTTGAACTGTCCTTGCTTCCACCTGCTCACCCTGTGCCAGGCAACAGCAGGAAAGGAATGAGAGCAGGTAGTGCTGCTCCAAACCTACAGGCATTTCAATCCAGGTGACAGGCAGGCCATCCAACACAAAGATACCAAAGCTGAACAGGAACCAAGGTACACCTGTCTCTCACACAGAACCTCTTCAGTTATCAGTGACTTACCTGCAGCATCACTGGTTGCTTCTTCACAAACAGAAACTCCAGCACAAGGAGTATTGATTTTCAGGGACATTGTCCTTTAATGTTACCAGCTATGTCCCCTTACAAACAAGACCAAGACCTCAGAGATGACTGAGGCAATGGCCTGAGAAGAAGAGCTGAATGAGACACATTTCAAAAACCTGCAGTTTGGCCAACAACATTCATATCAAAGACAAACAATTAAAGGGATTAATAACTTCACAGGCAACAGTAACACAGAGGACAGAGCACCAGGATATACAGAACTAGTGAAGGTCCTTAGAGGGTGCTAGGAGAGAAGTCTGGTGTGACTGCCCTTTACTCAAGGTTTTCTACTGGTATTCTCTATTCAGTGCCATGGGAAATGGCAACTCCACAGCTAGTCTGACATTAGCCATTTCCTCACCAATAACACAGACTGTGTTCTACACAGCATCTCCATTTCCCTCAGGCAACACTCTTCCCCACCCAAACTCACCCTCCCCATCACACAGGCCCAGGCTCTACTTAGTGCCACATGAAGAATCACTGCCAAAATATCAAACATTGCTCAACATGCCTCATCTGTAACCCCCCCTCTGCAGGTGATCCACGCCTTTCACATCCTCACCTTCCCTCCAGAGCAACACAAAGAACCCATGGAGTTCTGCAGGGCCACACAGCACTTGGCAAGCTCTTCCCAGCTGCGTGGACTTCACCACAAATGCTTTGCTCCTTTTCAGCAATCTCACATGGAAACACATCAGAGCTGTGTGGTAGAGTTCATAAAGACTCTGGGATTAGAGCTGTGACAGCTCTGACCCCAGTCCACACACATTTAGGTCACCAAGAGAACCACAGCAAATGCCAAAGCACAAGAGCACTCAAAAGGTCATCTGAGGAGGAGAATTTGGACCACATGAAGCCAGAGCTGGGCTACACTGCAGGGCTTGGCCTGCAGATACAAGAATGAGCCCTGTGTGACAACAGGACACACCATCTCTACTGAGGCCACCTCTGCAGTGCACAAGTAGGGCAAGTTGAGCACATACAGATTACACCCACCTCATCACAGGTACTTACAAATCCCACCTGAGGAGGAGCAAAAAACCATCATGACAACATCAGCAGTTGTGCAAGCCACTCTGGATACCCACCACTACACAGGGACAGCAAGTTTAACCATTCCCATCCCACAATACCTTTTCCAAAACAAGTGGTGCATCAGACAACATTCAGCACTCTGCATCTCACCCCCTCTGACCAACACAAGGCCTACATCAGGCAGGAAGCAGCACAAGAGACTGTCTCTGACAGGAGAGCTTCAGAACCTCAAAGGACATTGTCAGAATGTAAGCATCACACACTGTCTCATGGTCAGGAAGGCTGTCACCTCCACACCTCTAGACCCTGGGAGTGGATCTTTAGCAAGAACAAACACTCTGTGCTCATCTTGCTTTCCTGCAGGCATCCTTCCCCTCCCTCTCCAAGATGTGTTCTCAAGACAAACATGTCATCTCCCATTTCTGTCTTACAACATGGCCCATGCTCTTCCCAAGGATTTCCAGTTTTCCCACACAAGATCACTCCTCTTCCCACTGCTCAAGATCACCTTTCACATCAGGAAATGGCCAGGCCCTGCTCACTACTACGGGCCACAGTTTTCTTACCCACCTCAACACCCACCCAACTCACTCCTCCCCACCAATAACAGCACCTTCAAAACACACAGGTGCTGTCACATGCACAGGGCACAGCAGACCCTCTGCAGCTGACCTGTCACGTTTGGGATTCCTTCAGCTCTCTCAGGTGGAAAGGTGGCAGACCTGGGAGCAATACTCTTCCCAAAGCTGATGTCATGACAGCTCTAAATGGCAATGCCTTTGATGTCATGCTCTGAGAGAAAAACTAAAACGTTGGTGAGAGCATCAGTGTAACACATGATGCTGACCACGTAAAAGCATGTTATTTGACATTTGGCAGTGAGAGCTTGTACTCGGATTTCAGGGAATTTGAATATGTTAGTTTGTTCATTGCACAAAAGAAAATTTCCATGGCTTTTAAATGATGTGGCTGTTAACACAAATTTGAAAGCATATAAAAAAACGGACAGTGTACAAGACATTACTTTCCAGGAACACATGCCCACAACAAGCACAACAGTGGCAAGAAGAAAACAAAATTTCCATTTCTAACATACCTGCCTGAATACTTTATACTTAACTAAGCCTTTATACTTGAAAAAAGATCATACAAACAGGAAAATGTTACTCACACCTCCCCCTCTTTCCTAAGGAGTCTGGTGGTAGAACGAAAATGGAGAAATTCTGTCCCTGAAGTCCTAGAAGTCACCTTGCTTCACATCAATTTGTGAGCAGAATCAAAGAGGAGGAAGGCAGGTTTCCATAAGACACCAGACTAATATCAACACAGTTGGCACTCAGCAAAAGCAATAAGGCAGCACAAACTTCCTGGGGAACTGCAAACATCACAACCTGTAGTTCTTCCCCTCCTTCACCAAGCTCGGGTGGAAATGCTATACAACAGCAAGCAAGAGAATTGCCTGAAAAGCTGACACCACGGAGCAACTCTCACGCAATGGGCAAAACACAGGCAATTTAATTCTAGGGCAGAACAACTCCCACCGTGAGTAGCAAATCTCACCTGTGGGCCATAATTGTTTTAGAGTGCCGCAAGACATTTATTTCAGCATAACCTCAGCAAGAGAGAAGGGGCTAGGGGGAGGACGTGGCGGCCGATGCAAAGGGGACACTGATATCCTTAATCACCTGCAAAGCACCCACCGCCCTGCGACTGCAGGAGCTGAGCCCGGCTCCGAGCACTGCCTGCCCAGGGGGCGGGAGAGAAGGAACAGAGAAAGGGAGGAAGGGTCACTGACCGTGTCGAGGAGAGAGGGAGGCTCCGGCTGCGTGTCCTTGGCCGCGGCGCCGGGCGGCGGCGGGAAGTTGGGGCTGAAAACCATCAGGTCGCTCTTGGCCGCGCCGTCCGCCACGCACAGGCTCCGGCTGTGGCGCTGCGAGTACGACCAGCTGCCCACTTCGCTGGCGCACACCAGCGTCGTGGGCCCGGGCCCCGACAGCACGGCCGCC